CCCCATGAATGAATCAAGTCAAGTGCGACAGATCACAAAGTCGCAACAACAACAACTCCAGCCAAAGGGACCACGGGCATGGACCATCACGGGGACCCCCTTCCAGAGTCAGCATTTAGGACTTAAGGACCTTTACTCGAAGATGGGAGGGAAAAGGCGTGGGAAAAAGCTCCGGTGGTAGGTATATACTGATCTTGTCAAGTCTCGCGTGCAAAAAGGTAGGACGGCTCGTTCGAGATTGGTGTAGTTTCGTAGTCTTGTCAAGTTGCACTGATGATGCTGTAGATAACCTCCTTCTACTCTGCCTCCTTGTCTTCCGATGGGCCATTGGAGGAGCCCACGAGGTGGTAACGATGAGGGGGCAGGGCCAAGCTTTTTTTCGGAGGTCATTCAGCAAGGTTCAACCGTTCAATGAAACCGGGAATTGGTAACACCCCGCCACCGCAGCGCGTGCTCGTCGTCTGTCGTCGTCGTCGTCGTTGGAGTGTCTCGAAAAAGTTTCCTTATCGCGGTTTATCCTCACGGAGTAGTACTCACTGTTCTACATGCACAGTTGTGCTACAAGGCTAAAACAATGGGGGATTGAATGCACCTGAATCTCATTTTGGTCGGTCCAGATGTGGAATGGCATTTTGATATAAGAGGAAGCGACAGGAAAGAGTTTGTTTTCCACAGCAACTGTTCCGGTCAAGGCGAAACGATGCAATGCCTTCCTTCCGTACTCTTTGCCTCGACGCTGCCAACTCATTCGTTCAGTGCATTACTCGTCGAGTCGTCGTCTCCGCCCGTTCCTTCTCGAGATTTGAATCTTTTTTTGAGTTTTTGGAGTTGTGAAGAGATGCCTAAAAAGAGGGGGGCAAGGGGATGTCCCCGCTTTTGGTCAGTGGTCACTGCATTCTTGGCGCTTTGACAGGGGTCCAAAGTGCAGGTGCATTTTTGAGAGAGGGTGGGGCCATGATGGGCTTCCGCAATTGCCCCACACCCTTCAACTTGAAACAGGGCAAAGCAAAGACAGGGCTTCCTATTCGCTGCCTGTCCTTCCTTCCATCTTTTTGACTTTCAACCTCTCTCGAGCCTCTCTGGCCCAGACTTCTCACTTCATCCTCTTTTCGGGTTTCATGCTTCATGCTCCTTCCTTCTCACCTTGCACACATAGAAGCTGGGGGTACACAGACTCAAATTCGATTGATGACAGAAAACGACTCACATCAGAGACATCGCAAGGAAAGGAAGCCACTGACTGACTGACTGACTGAGCTTCCAGTACTGCCTTTTCCGGCTTCTTTCCTGGCTCAGTTCCAGTTCGGGGCAAGGCCCCATTCCCGTTCCCCGTTCAGTTTCTCACAAGAGACATGCTCACCCAACCGAGTAACCTCACCTCATCAACCTCACTTCTGAGTTTTGACTCTGCACAAGTACACGACATATTATACTCTACTCTGAAGACAAACGAATAGGAAAACTAGGCTGGCCTAACACTGATAGTGTAGGTAATGGAGCACAGAACGAGCCAGAGTAGGTACTATACTAGACACGGGAATATCTCCGACTGGTCCCAAAGTTGTTGTTCTTTGCAAATTAAACTGAGGTTGCCCAAACCCCAAAAAGAGCCTCCTGCCTGCCTTTTCGCCTCTTTTTGCCTCCTAATACATACATAGTGCACATACGTGGCATGCCGTGAGCGCAACTCGCTTACTACTCGCTTCGTATGCCTAGATTCCGTAAACTTCTTCGCTTATGTCGCTGTATAGTATCTTTGTGTGTGCCTGGTACCTGCCCGCTCTGAAGAGTGACGGGAGACGCCATTCAGACACGCAGACATATCCCCATCAAGCTTTGATCGGCCCGCTCTTCTGGAAAGGTTCTTACTCGCCCGTAATACCATACCCGTGATATCCGTTCCGTACCTGGTGCCTGGCCTGAAATTCTTCACTTGATCGGGCTGCGTTGCGTCCGTCCCTTGCTTGCTTGCTTGCTTACGCTGTGTCATCATCATCATCATCATCATGACTCCAACGCCAAGCTTGAAACGTCTGGATACCTCAAGTCGGCATTCTCCTCCAGGAACTCCATCCACCTCTTGAGAAATGCGCTACCCCTGTCGTTGTGAAGAAAAAGTCAAGTTAGTCATTGATCAAGCCTACCTGGAGGGTGTTGTAGCGTAGTACTACTTACTTCTTGACCGTCTCCGAATCACCAATAACCGTCAACGACCGCTTCGGCCGCGTCATGGCAACGTTCAGCCGTCGTTTCTCGCCCAAGAAACCGACTGCGCCTTCGTCGTTGCTGCGCACCAGGCTGAAGATGACTGCCTCCTTCTCTCTGCCTTGGAATCCATCTACACTGCCGAGTTCGATGCCGGGGAACTCGTCCTTTAGGGGCGCTAGGATGCTCAACTGTGTAATCACACAAACACCAAAGAGAAGTTGGTCAGTTGTCAATGCCGTGTAATGCGTTTTTCCATGCCGTGGCCTGGGCGTACACAACAGAACACGTTGTTTCATGCAAAGCATACGGGCTGTTGTGCCGTGGTAGGCTTCTTTCTCTCCTGGTTCCAAAAGAAAGAGAGGAGAAGACCAAGGGGGGGAAAAGAAGGGGAACAAACAGGCAGACTGGAACCAAGGCAAGGGTAACTGAACATACCTGAGCATTATACGGCGTCACGACCGCAATGTCCTCTGGTCTAACCCCCGCCTCGACCAGGCTACGCACATGCTGTTTTACCAGTGCCGCCTCCATCTCATTGCTCTTACTCTCGCCGTGAAGACTTCTCTTGATGGCCTTTTTCTTGTCTGTCGCAGATCCGTTGTTGTCCAGCTCTTCCTCGTTCTTCTCCGGGAAGTCACCGCCCTGCGTATCAATGAAAACCAGCGGCTCGGTGGTATCGTCGTTGTCTTCGACTTCGTACAGCAAGTCCTTGAGCAAGCGCTCCCTGACATGCTCAGCGGCCACGAGCTTAGACTCGTAGAGCTCGTCCGAGGGAAAACGCATGATCTTCTCGTGCATGCGGTACTGCGTGGTAAGCATCCTCTTGATGGCAGGGCCATGCAAGGCCAGCAGTCTGTCAAACAGCGTCGTTTCCAGCGTCGGTCCCCTTTCCTTGGGCTGGTCTCCTTTGGAGGCCTTGGAGTTCAACGATTTGATCGTCGGCGGCAGCTGCAGGTGGTCACCCGCCAACACCGCCTTCTTCGCCCACAGCAGGGGTACCCAACACTGCGCCTCCAGCGCTTGGCTGGCCTCGTCGATGATCACCACGTCAAACTCCTCGTTCTTCAGATGGTAGCCCCCCGCGCCGTGCAGCGTCGCTAGCACGACTTTGCTCCGGCCTACCAGGTCGCTGACGCAGCGCCGCTCCCGCTCGCGGTATTCCTTGCGCAACTCCTTCAGCTCCGTGTAAACGACTCGGCGCTCACGCCCGTTGCGCGTCTTTCGGATCGAGGCTTGCTTGGCATCCATCTCGGCGCGCACATCCTTGACGATGGCGCCAGCGTCCGAGGTCGTGGTGAGGACGTCGAGCGAGTGTGAGAGGACGGAGGGGAGAAGGCGGGCTGGGTGGCCGAGGCGGAGGATGGGTAGCTTGTGTGGCGAGAGTCGCTCGACGATGTTGTCGACGGAGATGTTGGAAGGGCCGCAGACCAGGATTCGGAGGTCACGTCGGAGAAGTTGGAGGATTAGTTCGATTAGGGTGTGAGTTTTGCCGGTCTGTTGTTGTGAGTTAGCTAGATTACGGGTAGAAGAGGGGGGAAGAGGTTGAGTGAACATACGCCGGGAGGACCATGGATGAGAGCTATCTCCCTCGAGGCCAAGGCAAACCGAATAGCATCCTTTTGAGAGTCGTTCAGTGTAGGATCAACCCACTCAATATTGCCAACCTCTGGGTCATTAATGAGGTCCGCCGGGACAGGTGAGGGTGATGACTGTCCAAAAAGGACTCTGATGAACATGGAGTGTTCCGACTCGCTCATCTTTTGAAGCTTCTCCATAGTTCCGTTCATCCTGTAATTCTCATGTCAGTTGACAATTGCTTTGTATCCTCACCAAATCCCCGTCTCCCATCCTCTTGCCCCTTTTTCACCTTCCTCTCACCCACTACCAACCTTAACCAGCCGACTCTTTTCATCCCTCATTTCACTTCACATCAGTCATCACAAACTCACCTCCGATAAGTAACATCATCAGCCAACTTAACCATCCAAACCCTTCCACTACCTCCCACCCCGCCGGCCCCAACCACATTTTCCTCCCCCTTATCCTCATCCAGCGCCACGCCCACCACCCCCCTGCCCACCCTCGTCACCACGCCCTTCGCGCCCTTCTTCTCCAACTCCCTGACCTCTCTCCTCTTCGCGCTCCCCGCCGGCTGTTCAGACACCAGCACGATATCGCCCGTCCTGATTCCATGTTCTGGTAATTCCGGTCCATCATATCCTCCTTTTGGGGGGTTTCCACTGGAAGCAATAACGGTAGCAGAATCAGGACCGAGTTCCAACACCGTCTTGCCGCCGTAGCCGGTCCGCTGGGCGTTGACGACGAGATTGGTCAGCGCCAGACCGGCGCGCTGCAGTGCGGTGGGCGTGTGCGCGCCGACGAGCTCGGAGGTCTCGGCGATTTCGGCGGCGAGCTCCGAGGAGAGGAGGGTGAGTTGGGTGGAGGCGAAGGAGGGGATGTCAACTGGTTTTGAGGGCGGCATTTTGAATGGAAGAGGAGTAATGAGGTGATGAAAGCCGGGTCCGGGGCACGGGGTGGAGGTTGGAACTTGGAAGGGTGTTCGCGGCGGAGCGGGGCCGGGAAACGGGACTGGAGTAATGACGAACGGCCGCGTTGCGGCTTCGAAGGGTCCTGCTGGGGTTTGCTTGGCGAGGTTGGTGATACCATATGCTTTGGTGCGCTTGTCTTTGAAATAGGCGAAAAGTCAATGGTTCATGATGTGGTTCGTTTGAGTTGAACCATAAAGTAATGTGAGCATTGCAGTGATTTGGTGTGTTGAGATCATCATTCCTTCCTTTGTTAAGGATTTTGGTGGAGATGCACAAAAATCGTTAGCGGATGAATCGACTATGCATATGTCGCTTTTCAATGGAAACGCACACCATCTTATCCGCCCAAAAGATCTTTTAAACTGTATTTTTGGTTCAATGAATTAATGCTTGAAACATGCCGATTTGTCCTTTCCCCCCCTACTCCTCCCCGTTCCATCGCAAAAGCATAATTCTACAATGATGATACAACCCCTGTATTTACTGAGCCGCTCCTTCAAGACTGACCAGGCTCTCCCAGAACCTGCCAATCCGTAGATCGGTGGATGATATCGTCCCTTCCGATCGGTCTAGTCCCATCGTTCATCACAATAGCCTCGCGATTCCGATGTCTAATCCGCTGCTCCTCAGCACTCGTCTCCTGCGCCCGCGAAGCCCGACCCATGTTAATGGAGAGCAGAAGGTTATACCGGTCGCCGCTTGTGTCCATGAGGTTCAAGTTATCCGCCTGCTCAGCCGCAAAGTCGTCAGCCGCCTCTTGGGTGTAGAGACCACACTTGACCAGCACGGCCCTGCCCAACTCGGTCTTGCGCACCGCATCGGCAAGCTTCCTCATCTTGTTGTCCTTGTACAGCATGTAGTTGTGGAAGTTGCGCTGTCTGTCATCCTCGGTCCTGCCCCAATTCTGCTTGGACAGCCAACGTTCGACAAACTTGGAGCGAATCAGCATCTCTGGCCCATAGCTCCCAACTAGTTGATCGAGAAAGAGGAAGCAAATCTTCTCGGTGATATCCCTTAAAGGATAATCATCCCACCCCTCATTGTCTAGTACCTCCTGCTCCGGGTCCAGGGATAGCTCAAGGCACCGGACTATGGCGGAGTATGCTTTCCAGGTGTTAAGCATAGGAAGGACTCCTTGCGGCCAGGTTAGTTAGTAGATTGGATGGGGTTTCCATGTATTCTGGGAACACTCACGGGGAACGCAGATGATTGATAGAGCCCTCAAGTTCTTGACACGCTCGTCATAATCCGGACGGGTGATGCCCCGGAGCAACGTCTCGAGGATTTTGGGGTCACTTGCAGCCCTATCACAGATGATCTTGGCAGCCGTCTCCTTGATGGCGTGGTTGTAATGGCCCAGCAAGGTGTCCAATGTCTTCTCTTCGAGTGAGTCTTCAGTCTGCTGGGTGATGTACTGCGTCTTGGGCGGATTGGGAGTGACAATGGTCTCGTCTCGCCATCTTGCTAACCAAGTGTTCATGGCGAAGATGATCAGGCTCGCCGTGACGAAGCCGAGGCCGGTGAAAACCACCCTCTCATTTCGGAGAACGGAGGATTGCCAGCCCATAGTAACGGTATGGTGAAGAAAGATGCTCCTGCATAAGCTTGACTTGCTGTTGTTTTCTAGATCACATGGCGACTTTTGAGGTTGAGAGGTCTCTAAATCCTGGACAAGAGGATGACGACGGAGAGCTTTCTTTCAGTGGAGTGAGACACGCTGTAGAGCTTCAACTTTCGGCAGCTACAGTGCAGTACATGTGCTCCCTTCTCGTCTTCAGGTTGCTGCCCCTGTCAACTGTGACCGCCAAGAATTGCTGGTGGGGCCTTTCGATAAGATAAACACCCTTCACCTCCAAAATTTCTGAGAACCGCCGCCAAAGACAATTGATTGCCGGCCTCGCGATCGAACCCACTTCGCGACGCCATCTCTCTCCCGTCTTTCTCTCTCTCAACATTCCCCTGTCAAGTCAACAACCGAGACTTCTCAGCAAACATGGCCGGGTCTCAGCTTAAGAGGCTGAAGGCCTCCCTCAAGGACCAAGGCATTATTGGTCCCCAGAAATCCAAGAAGCAAAAGCGCCAAAACGCCCAGGATGCAAAGGCTTCCACGGACAAGCGACTCCAGCGCCACGAAGCTCTCGCCAGCATCAGAGAGCAGTTCAACCCCTTCCAGTTCAAGACCAGCGCCAGAGGACCCAAGTTTGAGGTCACCACCAACAAGCCCCAGAATGACAAACTCGCCAAGGGCATCCAAGGCCGCCCCGGCCTTGCGAAGGCCACCGCTGAACAGAGGGTTCGTTAATCCATTCCCATGGTTGCTGATTTGTGCCTGCTCTGATGCTAACCGTATGTCACGAACAGCGAAAAGAAACTCTGTTGGTCGAAATGCAACGGCGCAACAAGGTCGGCGGTATTGTCGATAGACGTTTCGGCGAGGACGACCCCAACATGACGCTAGAGGACAAGATGATGGAGCGTTTCGCCCGCGAGCAGATGAAGAGCCACAAGAAGAACACCGTCTTTGACCTGGAGGGTTCCGACGACGATGCGGAGCAGGTCACCCTTACACACGCCGGCAAGACTCTCTTTGACGACGACGACATGGAGGTTGGCCGTGACGATTTCGACGAGAACATTTCCGACATGGAATCCGACGATGAGCGTTCCGCCAGAAAGAAGTTCCTCAAGCGCCTGCGTGCCGAGGAGGAGGCCGCAGAAGGTGAAGGAGAGGATGGACAACCGGAAAGGAAGAAGACCAAGAAGGAGGTTATGGAGGAGGTTATCGCAAAGTCGAAGGCCTTCAAATACGTAAGGATCCCCCCTGAGGCGTCTGCTTCCAGTCACCTGCTAATCACTTTTTTCTACAGGAACGACAAGCCGCCAAGGAGGAAGACGAAGATCTACGAGTCGAGCTCGACAAGGAATTGAGACAAGTGCAGTCCCTACTTTTCCAGATGAAGCCGAAGGAAACGAAGGAACCCAAGGGCCCTGCCACGGTGGCAGGAATCGACTTGGAACAGCTCGAGAAGGAATACAACATGCGTCTTAAGCAGGCAACGCGCGAAGCCAGGGCCGAGGTTACCGACAGGACGAAGACCGAAGAGGAGAGGGCGGAGGAAGGAGTCAAGCGTCTCAAGGAGATGGAGGAGAAGCGACTCAGGCGCATGCGGGGCGAGGTCGTCTCGGATGACGAGGAAGAGGAGGAGCCGAAGAAGGGCAAGAAGAAGGGAGACGACCAAGAGGTACAAGACGAAGCCGATGAGGACGAGTTCGGCCTCGGCAAGGGTATCAAGCTACGAATGACCGCCACCGAGATGGGTTTGGACGACGAAGACGATTTCTTGCTCGAAGACGACCTTATCGCAAGCGGCTCTGAATTGGATATGGACGAGGACGACATGTCGGATGTCGAAGGAAGCGACGAGGAGGATGCTTATGATCCTGATGAGGACGAGCTTGTGAATGGTGGTGCGGACGGCGAGTCGGAAGAGGTGGCCACAAAACTTCACGCTCAGTCAAAAGCCGGCGATGAGGACGGCATACCATACACCTTCCCATGCCCCGAGAGTCACGAGCAGCTGCTGGATATTTTGGGAAATCTTCCCGTAGCAAAACTTCCAGTGGCCGTCCAGAGGATCAGAGCTCTCTATCACCCCAAGCTGAACGAAAAGAACAAGGAGCGTCTTGGGAACTTTACCCAGGCCCTCATTGAGCATATCGCTTACCTGGGCGACAATTTCGAGCCCACCTGGTTCCCTGCCATTGAGAACTTGATCCGCCACGTTCACTCGCTCGCAAAGACCTTCTTCGCCATTGAGGTATCCAAGGCTTACAGGGCACGTCTCGAGCAGATCAAGGAGGAGCGGCCACTGGCTCTTACTGTCGGCGACCTTATGCTTCTCACAGCTATTGGTACAACATACCCTACTTCTGATCACTTCCACCAGGTGGTAACCCCTGCGATGCTTTCCATCACCCGTTACTTGGGACAAAAGATTCCCCAGACACTCGCCGACTACTCGATCGGCGCTTACCTTTCGATCCTCGCCCTTCAGTATCAATCATTCTCCAAGCGTTACGTACCAGAGTTTATCAACTTCTGCCTCAACACTCTTTGCTCGCTCGCTGCTGAGAAGCCCAAGGAGAAGCTCGGTCTGTTCCCCGTACACGAACCCGCTGCTGGTATCCGTGTCAAGGGTGCCAGCAAGGTGACCGTCAGGAAGCTCAACTGCGGTGACTGCCAGCAGCCCAAGAGCACTCGCTTCGCCAGCGAGGACTCCGCTCAGAAGGTTGCCATCATCAGCACCATCACTTCCGTTCTCAGGACCGCCTCCGAGACGTGGTGCAAGCTCCCCGCATTCTACGAGACCTTCCAGCCTGCCCAGCGCGTGCTCCAACACCTGACTACCAAATCCAACGCCGCCCAGCTCCCCGCGGCCCTCGTCAAGCAGCTCAAGGACACAACAACGAGCATCTCTCGCTTGCTCCAGCTCGCCCAGGTCTCGCGCAGGCCGCTCGAGCTGCACCACCACAAGCCGCTCGCCATCAAGACGTACGTGCCCAAGTTCGAGGACTCGTTCGATCCCAACAAGCACTACGACCCCGACCGCGAGCGCGCCGAGATGGCCAAGCTCCGCGCCGAGCACAAGAAAGAGCGCAAGGGCGCGCTCAGAGAGCTCCGCAAGGACGCGGCCTTCATGCAGCGCGAGAATCTCAAGGTCAAGAAGGCCAAGGACGAGGCGTACGAGAAGAAGTACAAGCGCTTGGTGGCGGAGATCCAGGGATCCGAAGGCCAGGCGTCGAACGAGTACGCGAGGGAGAAGGCGGCCAGGCTCAAGAAGAACAAGACGGGAAACAAGTGGTAAATGGTTACCACTTCTTGACAGACGGTTCAGGGGTAGAGGATGTTGTGATCGGGGTTGGGATTGGATTGTTGTGGTCGGCGTTGCTGTTGCTGTTGCATACAAATCATCATCATTCTTCAGTGCAAGTGCAGTATTGGGATCATGGGCTAGAGATACCATGTCTGTTATATCATCTACTAGTGGGAGTTTCAAAATTATTTCTTCGTTACCAAACTTCCATATTCCATCTACTCTGCCGTTTACTTGTGATGTTTACACAACCCAACAATGTTAACCGGGTACACATCCCGACCTCGGACGTTCAAGAGTTCAACAAACCATCGCGGCCCCGGTTGTGGCTTTCAACAGTACGCGCAGAGCCTCATCCGAAAATCAAGCAGCAAAGGATTGCAGCTTCAATGTGTGGCGGTCCCGCCGCGGGCTACAATTCAAACAAAGGCATTCTTCATCCACTTCCTCCCCTTTTGCGACATAGGTACTGTAGCGCCAATGTTGGCCCAACATTTGACACGTTGGTTACGAACAATGAACGGCAACAACACAAACAACCGCCGCACGTCACCGACCACTGGACCCCGAGAGGACGCTGAAGTCGTTGAATCGATGGAAGTACCATCTAGGTACCGGGCTTGGGTTTCCGTCATTAACAACATGTATTTAACCCGGTCTGATATCCGCAAAGGTCCAACCGTCGATCGAAACCTTTGTATATATCTAGACGCTGTACCATAGACTCCAGTGTTGGTTATATCAATGCATCAGTTCCACAGTAGTGAGTGTTAATGAGGTCACTCATTCATTCACAGTCATGCGCGACCGGCGGGCGAGTCTTTCACTTTTCACTTTTCATTTCCATAACCCAAATCTCGCTCGCTCGCGCGCGGTTCGGTCTTTTAGACCTACTTTGTCGAAGAGCACAACAATTGTTCTTTGGAATAGAACGTCAGCTGATGATGTTTCGCGCCAGTTGGTGCAGTCGTTGTGGCCGGAACTTTGTGCAAGTGTAAGTTGGGTTGGGTTTGGGTTGGTCGGTTGGTTGGTTCCGAGCAAGATCATCAAGATAAAGATCAAAATCAAGATTTCCCGTCACGTCCTTTCAGGGCCCCCGTCCCCGCGTGCCCCGATTCCATCCCCGAGCGGCCGAATGAACCTCATACACCTCAGTTGATGGAAGACAGCGGGGGGGGGGAATTAGACGCCGAGGCGAAGTTTGTTTATCGCAATCTTGACATTAATCGATTGCCCTTTTGGAGACAGACGATGGACTGTCTGCTGACGGATATTTCCACTACGTATCGAGTGTCGACCGTCTAGAGCCGCCCGTTGTTGTTGACTTGATACCCGACTGTTGATCTAGTTGGTGTAGTTGGCTGCCTCTGGCCATTATCGCGACCATACGATCAGGTGGCAAAGGTTGAGGGAAAGGAGTGGAGGAGCGAAGGAACAATGAAGTTGATCTGACAGACTAAAACGGGGCAAGCTGACTACGGGTTGGACACAAAGAGACCGCCCATGTCCATGAGCAGGCAAACCCAAGGGCATAAGGTCAAGAGTGAGGCCCAGCGAGGCCTGAAAGAGGCCTTGAATGACTTCTTCCATCTAATCTAACCTCACCTCGCTTCCATTCCCCTGATTTCATTCCTCGCTCTTTCGCCTCAATCATCAGATGTTATTACACTTGTCCTCAGTGGCCTTGCGGGCC